CATTTACGTCGGAAACTAGCACACCCGACGTTGTAAAAACGCGGTGGCAGTTCCGTAAATAAGAGGAGGAAATTTACGTCAGACATCGATGGGCCCGACATAAATGAGATAATTTACGTCGGACAGCTAAAGCAACCGACGTAAATTATCTCATTTACGTCAGACCCATCTTCGTCCGACGTAAATAACTCCTTAAATGAAGGGCGCGCACTACAGATTTCAAATCGTGGCATTCTTCTTCATCTTCACGTTCTCCCGCGCGTTGTGGATTCTTCCTCATCCCTCCGCCTCCTCAAATCGTGGTTGTCTTCCTCATCTTCACGTTTTTCTGTTTTTCTTCTTCAAAGTTGCGTTGTTTCTTCTTCGCGTGTTGATGGAAATGGCTTAACCATACATCTATCTATTTTTCTATGAGGTAGTGACCACTCCTTAACCGATGTTTGTGTTTTCTGGGATGTATTTTTCGTAATAATGTTTGTGTTGCATTTCGTGTTTGTGAAGCTGCAGAAGGAAGTGACCACTGCCTGAGTCTATCAAGTAGAATGGGCCGTTCTGCTTGGAGAACGGCCTGTTCTGCTAGCAGAACGGTCCGTTCTCCATGGAGAACAGGTCGTTCTCCAAGCAGAACGGGACGTTCTCCAAGGAGAACGGGCCGTTCTCCAAGCAGCACGGGCCGTTCTCCAAGGAGAACGGGCCGTTCTGCTTGCACTCGTTTTTCTTTTTTTTTTTTATTTTAAATTTTTATGACTTTTTTACGTCGGACCTTGACATGTTCGACGTAAATTTACGTCGGTTTTTGACCCCCGACGTAAATTTTACATCTCCCGTATTGACGTCTGATGCTTTTCCGACGTAAAAGGCTTCAAATACCCGACGTAAAAGGGGTCTTTTGTACTAGTGACACAAGAGAAAAATACAATGAATTTCCTACACTACTAGGCCCAAAAGTATAAGGCCAAAACACAACTAGATTACTTGGCCCACAATACAAAACCTAAAGAAAAAACATATACAAAAATGAGAGGTATTGGGCTTAAATATTTAGTATCCAATAGCTCTAGATGAGCTTGTTATAAAATAATGGCCCAATCCAAGAGGGGGTGAAAAAAATTGTTATCCATAATAGTTTTATCCAACTTGAGCATGACTATTTTCAATAAAAAAAATGTGGTATATAAGAGGACTTTAATATTTAATTGGCTTAATTGCACTTTTTTCCACCCAAGCTTTATGATTTCACGAATTTTGTCACCAAACTTTTGAAAGTACACATTTTACTAGCCAATTTTCATACTTTTGCATAATTTGTCACCTTTTAATTAACTGTTTATCTCTATTAGTTAACTATTAACATGACACATGTTGTCTATATTAACATGTTATATTTATTGTCGACGTAACACATCATGTCATTGCATCATTCATATACTACTTTAACAATTCACATAAATAGTCAATATATCATGTCAGAGTTCAACTAATAAATAGGTATAGTCAATTAACATGATAACAAAATGTCCAAAAATTTTAAGTTAAGTAACAAAATGTATAACTTCAAAAGTTAAGCAACAAAATTTGTAAAATCATGAAACCTTGTTGGCATAAAGTACAATTAAGCTTATTTAATTAAAATAGCCTTTCAAGTATTTTATAAGCATTTGGTACTTTTTTTTATAAGGAAATGATACTTCGACAATAAATTTTTACGTACATCTATATATTTTTATTATAAGCACACCATCATATTCGAAATAGGCGGCACCCAAAACCTTACATAAATGTTTTTACTACTTTTGGTCTTATTATTATTATTATTATTATTATTATTATTACTATTATTATTATTATTATTATTAAATATACTATCATTTATTTCTTATAAAAAAGAAGGAAGAGAATAATTTAAAAAAATACATAAATAGAGAGTTAACATTTATGAATAAAATATTGCCCTCTAAAAGAGAAACAAATTAGTTTGCTAAACTAATGAATCATTAATCTATATCAAATAAGGTATATGTCAAATTCAATTCTCGTGGATTAAAAAAAAAATAGAGATGTTAAAAAATTTATGTTTAACTAAAGTATTAGTTAACTAAACTAAATTAAACTACATGATAAAAACTAAACTATTTTGAATGAAAAACTAAACTATATTTTAGTGTAGTTTTATAAAGCTTAAACTATTACAATAACTAGTTTATTGCACTATAGATAATGATCTATTTTTTTTTTAATTTTTATAATTCAAGTTGTAAATCTAAACTGTTGTTTTGTTAATTTAGTACATAAAACTAAACTTTTCATCGGGTTCTAGTCCTTCTTTTCTTTTTCTTTTTCTTTTTTTATAAAAAATTTAGTGGAATAAATGTTATTCACCTCATATAGCTTGTTTTCAATCCTAAATATATCTCTGTTTTTTATTTATTATAAATTACTGCTGCTTTGTTAATTTGGTGCACTATATCATAAAACTAAACTACTAATCGATAATAAGCTAGTAATAGTCCCTTTTTTATATAAAAATTTTTAGTGAATAAGTAAATGTTATTCACCTCATATCTACGATGTTAATAGAAAATATTTATGCTTTTTTGCAAAACATTGTCCTTTTTATTTTTCTCAATTTTTATTCTTTTCATATTTTTAAATTTCTAATTATTTTAATTATGATCCAATATTTATGATTTACCTTAGATGAAATTTATCAATTTTCTTAATTAAAAGGAAATGATACAATGCCACATATATAGTGATCATACTTCTATTATTTTTGTATTATATCTTATTTTCCTCACTGTTTTATTTTCTAAATAGAAATTTTATTAAAATTTGTAAAATTAATAATGTTATTTTTTTAATAATGTTATTTTTCAGGAAATTTGAGTTATGAAAAAAAAAAAAAAAAAAACTACAATTTGGTTTTTAATATAAAATTAATTGAATTGAACAATGAACAACCTCAATATTAATTGTTTAACATTTTTTGTCACTACTTTGAAGTATAAAGTCTAAGAGTATAAATCTTGATAGGAAATTGAAAAATGATTTTTAAACTAATTTTGGATCAATTTGATTCAAAGTGATGGTTTGATTTAATTCAAAAAGTGTTTGATTATGTTCAAAGTGCTACCATAAGAAAAAGTTTAAGTTAGAATTAAAAAAAAAAACAGTTTAATTTGATTCAATATATAATTCAGTTCGAACTATAAGAATGTAGTGAGTTAAACTTAAAAATACTTTAATTCAGTTCACTTTAACTATATTTTAGTTTAGTTCACCTTGGATGAATTATTTATTGTATTTTAGTTTAGTTCTCTCATAATTTAGTTTAATTTTATAATTTGAACACTCCTACAAAAGGTTAATTGTAGTTAATAAAAAATACTTCATTAAAAGTGATAAATGATGTCTTTCAACAAAAATAAGTGAATATTTCGCACCTAAACATTATGGGCGAAAATTGCGGGAATTATATTTTAATTAAAAGAATTAGGAAAGATGCATGATATTCACTTCCTCATAACTTAGATACATTTTTATGTAAACACTATCAATCTTATACGTTCGTGTTTTATGACTTTTGAATTTGATAAGAATAAGAGAGGTGGATTCTATCTATATGTCCATACATTATTGTATATACTTCAGTATTTAAATATAGTTTTAGTTTTTGCATTTTCGAATTTAAATTTTAACCTTATAATAATTTTATTTCTTAGATTTTTGTCCCTATAAATTTATTCTATATAAGATTTAATCTTTATGTACTTTTATTTTGTTTACGTTTAGGTTTCCCTAGTATAACAAACATGGTTCTTGATAGTTATCCCTCGAAGAATATGTGTGGAATATTAGTGGAAAGGACAAAAGTTAAAAAATAAAAAATAAAAAATTATCAGAAGCATAAACTAAACTTTTAAAATATAGAGATCAAAACTAAAATAATGGTAAACTACCAGAATTGAAAATATTTTGAACTTACATGGAAACCAATAACATTTTAGATGCTTAAGGTTACCTCTATTCGGTATAACAAAGAGTTTTATTATTATTATTTTACAATAACAAAGGGGAATTGGCATAAAAGGAAAGAGAAATGAAGAGAATATGTATGTAGGAAAAGAAAAAACCAAAGTTTCGATATAGTCATTAGGTGTAGTTGGTTATGTTTTCTAATCAAAATGAAAGACTTACTTTTGTATATAAACTCATATTTAATACAAATTTCATTAATATACATTATATATAATTATCAAAATAAATCTCTAATTTTAATTATAGAATAATATTAATTACACTTAATAAAGTGTACTTAAGTTTTATATTAAAAAAAGGGGCTTAAATAAAGTGTGAAAAATATGATATCACTGGACTAGGTTTTATTTGCCTCAATCTATCTGTTCTATATAAGTGTAATAAGGGTTTACATTGTTTTCACCCACTATAAACCTACTATTTTTTTTATCAGTAAACCTACTCATTTATATGTATGTTTCTTAATTATATTTATATTTTTAGAAGAATGTAAAGAGAGAAAACAAACTATTCATTTCAATATTAAGGCAATACAAAAGCTGAGCTAAATTAATATTTAACAGACATAAATAACGTAACATGTGAATTCTATTTTATGCCTTTTAAAAATACAATTTAAAAGCAACAAAATAGAATCGAAGAGAATGAAAATAAAACTAACCTTCCGAATTACTTTCTCTCCAATTCCTCAACTTTATTGGAAAATATTTATATGTAGAGCTATAAATTAATGGATCAATACATAAACCGTTGCTTAAGGGAGGATAACCTGGTTTGCTTTGAATTACCACAAATAAAAACTAGTTATAAATACACATAGTATTTGATATGAAGAATATATAGAGTAGTTAGTGGGAGAGATTATTAGAGTTAACCTTGGGTACAGTATTCGATATTATTATAAAGGTTGTGTCATAGTCATTCTTTTTCACTTGTAGCCCCATTTATTGCACTTGTCTTTTGCTTTCTTTTCCACTCTCTCACTGGAAATGCTCTTTTTCTCCTATACTCTTTGTTGTTGCTTATCTAGTTGTCATTGTATTTGCGGGTTTTTCTCATCTTGTCCTGCAAGTAACTAGGGTTTTCCGTTTTCTCTCTGAACTCTCACATCCAATAGTGAATTCCCAAGACTTCTATCCCGGTGCTTGTAGACTTCTTTTTCACTGGCATTATTAAAGAATAGATCCTGAAAGACCCTTCTGCAAGAGAGAAAAAAAATAAAGGTATTGATCTAAATTACAATATCCTTTGTTCAATTAAACCTAGCTAGCTGTACAAGGTATAGTTTTTCCCAATTATATGTTTCTTTTTCTTCTTTTTGATTGGTTTTTGCCTAATAAATTTATGTTCTAAGGCTTGATCCAGGGTTTTGGTTTTTGGAAATTTTTGGAAGGAACGAAATTCTGGGTGTGAATGATGTATCATCCAACTCAAAGAGTTGAAAATAGAGAAAACTTTCACATGTCATATCCACAAATAAACTGAAAAGATTCCTGGTAGGTGTACCTTTTCATGAAGCCCCTCCAACTGAAAATCACAGAAGGCTAGACCTAAGGAGAGATGAGGAGAGACAGGGAGAGAAATTCAGGGAAGAAATTTATTAGTCTAAGATGAGGAAATCAAACATAGCACAATTAATAATACTGTCGTCTCACATGTACAATATTTTTCTATATTTATTTTATTTAATTTTCTCCCTCGTCCTTCTGTTGTCCTTGAGAGAAAAATGAAATTGAGAAAAAGGGTTCTGGGTAGTAGTCAGAAATTCTCTAATTCTCTATATATAGGGGCTCTTCTTTTCTATTCTTTTCATTTTTTAATCCACTAATTCAATAGTGGACTTTGATTCAACATAAAGACGGCTTAGGGATAAAAAGTAAGAGAAGTTTGAACAGTGGTAGAAAATGTTGTTACCGAAAAAGGAAGTAGCAGGATGTGCTTTAGGCAAGTAATGTCAGCCCCTAACCCTAGTTTTATACATGTTCAAGGAAATCTAGATATTAAATTCAGATTCGATATGTCCACTATATATACAATTAATTAAGCCGATGTTAGTTTTAATTAATTTTCAATAAATAGATATACAAGTCTGTTTGGTGATTTTCTTTATACTTTTTATTTTGTCCAAATTTAAAACTATATATTTTTGTGCTGCATAATTTATATATAGGATACTCTTTTTTACAAGGTTCAGAATATAATCAATTATATTATACTGTATTTCGATTTACATGTTAGCTTAAACATTTTGTACTCATGAGTTAGAGTACCTTTGGTACTACATATCTTTAGAGAATTTCCTTGTCGCTGATATAAAAAAGGACTATAATCAATGATAAGTTATTCAAACATCTGAGAGGGTTTATACATGTAATTAAATTGTCTAATTATTGTGTGTTTGATTCTAAATTGGTAATTGCAGAGAAGATCATGGCCTCTTCTAGCTACTCGAATTCTCCCTGTGCTGCCTGCAAGTTTTTGAGAAGGAAATGCATGCCTGATTGCATATTTGCCCCATATTTCCCTCCAGAAGAGCCTCAAAAGTTTGCCAATGTTCACAAGATATTTGGTGCAAGCAACGTGAGCAAACTTCTGAATGAAGTCCAACCCCACCAAAGAGAGGATGCAGTGAACTCTCTGGCCTATGAAGCTGAGGCACGGATAAAGGATCCAGTTTATGGCTGTGTTGGGGCCATTTCAGTGCTCCAAAGGCAAGTCATTAGGCTCCAAAAGGAACTTGATGCCACAAACGCTGATTTGATCCGCTATACCTGCAATGAAATGCCAACTACTCAAGATGGGAGAAGAATTGCTGATAGTGGAGCTTCTTCTCTTGCTCAATCTCCTGGTTATTATTACCCTTCTCCTTGGAACAATGATCCACTTGGGGATGGTTATCACAGAGGTGACAATAATATGTGATTTAGTTTCAACCATCTTAATTAACTAGTATGAAACTCATCCTATTATCCCGTTAGGGTTTCTTATTGTATAGTATTTAAGATCATGGGGTGGTATAGTCATAGTGTGGTTCTATAAGGGGCGCATAATAAATTAATAATGTATGTTCTTGTGAGGGTGCCCTTCATATTTCATAAAATTAATGTGTCTATTGTTATGAATGTAACTGAACTTGTACGTCTCTTAGCAGGCAAATAAATGAGAATTTCGGATCATAATAAAACCCAATTGTTATGTTGATTTATCATAGAAAGGGAAACCATCATATTTGTATACTTTTTTCAATTAATATAACCTCAATCTGACACTAAATTTTTATAATATTAATAATTGATTTTGCACATGTCACAAACATATATTTGTTTAATGTGTTACACTACTCCTTAATTATACTCTCTCTTAATTAATATTTTGTTGTCGATTAAAAGAAATATTCTTACCAACATATATATAATAAGTATTGTTACAAATATTGGATCAATATCCATACAAATACTTCAAAATCTATATTCTAGAATCAAAACAATCAAAGTTACCAGTTAACGTCCAAACAGAAAAAAAAATGATAAAAATGATTTACTATTAATTATATGCTCTCTAGACAACTAAATTCCCACTATATTTTCGCTTTTCTTTTGATGAGTAACATAACTAATAAATATATCAGAAATGGCCCCCACGTATAGCACTCCAAACCGACTATCATATTAAATTGTGAAAAATTGGCAGCTAAACAGAATCATATAGCTATTATTTTGATCTTCAATAACAATAACGTATATAGCACTAGTTGGGAACCTACCTTTTGGAGCATGATCACTCCTTAGCTTCCTCCTATGTACTCACTCAGATATTACTATTACGTACTCCGTGCAAAAATCATGATCTCAAAACGGCCTTCATAAAGAATCCAGCTTCACAAGCATATGTAATGGGTTACCTATGATGTTCAATTATCTATTTATATAACACCTAATAGTAATAATAGCACGCAATTCAAATCGCCATAAAGGAGAAGACAGATTACCTCCTATCCCGGTGTGCTTCACTTTTTCAATTTCACAACTTAAAGCCTTAATATGTGAACAAATGTAAGAGGGCTAATGCTATGGCAATTTTTTCAGCGTATAATTCTCCAACATATCATTTCCCTCCCACATAATATTGTACATGTTGGTCAAACGGGAACTGTTAATTTGTTGACTCTGTAGAAATTTTAATAAAATTATGAAAAAAAGAGAATATTATTTGTGATGTTTCCGTGATTGCATTTCCATGTCCTCTCTTCATTACAACATTATCATTATGATGAGTATCAAGTGTAAGTGGTACTGGTACTGATGCCTAGGGATGGAGGATTTACACGAAAGAGATTGTTCTGTTCAAGGGCATGTGATAAGGGTACATTGAACCTTTTTAGACAAGTTATGTGCATGGTGCGGATATAACGGGGCATTTTCTTCGCCCCCTTCGCTTACGCTGAGCCATGTGAATATTGTAGTCATTGCTAGCTCACTCCTCTCCTCTTTACGTACCTATACTATCACGTTTCTGTTAATAATATGTTCCTTCAACCACTCTTCTGTGTTATACATAGGGTGTTTCCTTGCATATTTATCTTCATCGTTTAGCTAGCTTCACCAGATACATTCATAATCTCATACAAACACAAAATTTTTATAAAAAAAAAGGTAAAGATCGAGATTCCCTTTCATATTCGTGGGTTTTTTTGGGGGCCTTTTTTTTCGGTTTAATGGTTTAATTAAGTTGCTATGATGGTTTTTGTGTTCTGTACGTGTGTCGATAATTTTTGTGAATGTATTCGCAACCTTCAGTGGTTAGGATTTAATGTGTTCGTACATGGAGTATTATTTCTTCTATGATTTAGTCAAAAGTAGGTCATCAGTGCTGAAATGAAAGAATATACATGAAAATTCCGAGTAGCATTAAATGATTTTTTTCCCTTTTAGGTCTGCATTATATAAAGTTAGGTAAAATTTAATGTTCAACTTGTCATATTAGCCGAAAAAGTGAAAAACACATACTATAAATTAGGTCAGGCTCTAAACCTTATATGACATTACTTTTAATCAAAGGGTGCATGATACAATCTGTTTAAGCTTCAAATAAAATTTAAACTACTAATTTTAAATTAATTAAAAATAATTTATTAACTCTTTATCTTGGATTTAGCTTTCAGTTTTTTTGTGATGTAAAATTATTTATTAAATTATCGTAAACAAATTTATTGAATAGTTCTTCTTATTTCAGAATGAAATAAATCAATTTAATCTTTATTGAGATATTATTGATTTTAGATAATTAATATTCTGAGCAATTTTAATTTTTGAAAAATATTCTTTCTACTGAAAAATAATTAATTAAATAATTAACATTAGATTATAAGCAGTATATCATATAGGATAAGAACAGAATTAGTAATTTTAAATAATCCAAAATGTCAATCACTACATATCATATCAATGTTCACTTATATGATTACCTTTAAAATTGTCAACTCTAAATACATTTCTAACTAAACTATCGACGGCTTTAGTTTATTCCAACACCTATATGTAAATTAATAAGATTTTGTATTTTAATAAGGATTAAAAAGATAGAAAACGACTAATAAATAGAAAAATAAGGTAGCTAGTAATTTCTAAAAAAATAGAAAATCGTAATGGCATACCTAATTTTTAGAAAGGAAATGTTTACTCCTAGTAATATCAATTACCTCTAGTTAAATTAGTAATTTTTTCTTTATTTTCTCTTTTGAAATTAAATATCTACGTTTAGTAAAATTTTGGGTGCCTTATGGGATAGGTAGCCTACTTCTACTAAATATATATATAAGCAAAACTCTATGATAAAAGTATATGAAGATATTTGATTATTTCATAAGTCTTGAATACTTTTAAACACTTATTTCCCTTAATAAAATTTTATTAAATACAAATAAATCATTAATAAATCATGCGTTTATATCTGAATAATTACATATACTAAACTGTAAAGAATTCATTTATAAACATATAATTTATAGTTATTTATTATTTACTTATTTTTTAAAAAGAAAATAGCCGTTAAAATGAAGACAAATGATAAAGTATTAACTATTTTTAATTGTGGATAAGAAAACAGATATTTTTAAATTGTAGAGTTATTATCACTAGGATGGTTGGAAGGAGTTAGAATAGTTAGACATAAAGAGAATACATTCGATTCTCTGCAAATTATCTTTATCATTTTTACTTAAATAAAATAAATTTTTAATTTATTTAATGAAAACTTTCCATCAATAGCTATTGAAGAAAAAAAAAATGCTATATTTCTCGCATGGATGTTTAACAGTTTATAATGTCTTTTCTTTCTCCAAAAATGACTCCAGACAATTTTAAGGAATAGGTCGAATAGAATAAGATATCCTCAATCCCTGATATCTAAGGCTTTACTTATTTATTTGAGATAAGATAATTGTAAGTGCTTCGTAAATATATAAAATAAATTAAGCACCATTCACTTTTTCCTATTTTTTTTTAAACAAGTAAAGGAAAAATGATTCACGTCAACTTTTACTGTGAATTAAAGAGAAAGCGGTAAATGCATACTCAAAACCTTTTAGTTTTGCACATATCTCCAAAATGCATTGATTTAAATTAGGGAACAAGAAGAGAAAGTTAAGCTTTATGCATGCCTTAGAATTCGCCTTTGAAGAATTATACTTGTCCTTTCTCTGCAACTCATGTTTTCCCCACCACAATAGAACTATGATGACAATGTGCTCCTGTCTCATTTACTCGATTCATCCACATAATTAAAATGATATCAATTAATTTTCTTTCACATTAAATTTACCCTACTGTTTATCAATAAGGCTAAGAAGGTTACACTTATTGTTGTTGGGGGGGTTTGAATTTGATGCAGAGGCTTGGTTCTATATCTATACACGTGGGATTACTTTGGAATTTAACAATGAATACCTTTGTTTGGGTTTGGAATATTTTTGCTTCTCTCTTTGTCCACATATGTAAATTAAAGTGTGTATGTAGAAATACACGGGGAGAGAAAACAGGTGAAGAGTTGGGAGAGAGAGGGACTAGAGAAGTAAAGAATAGACAACATATTGACATGGAAAAGATACCAAATGTTTCCCTTTGTCATGCAAAACTGAGCACGCGTACTGAGCAACATTTCCATAATAGGTTTGTTTTAGTACGTGTATGATTAAGCTTGCTTGGGAAAATAACTTTTTTATCACCTTCTTAAAATGGTTTTTTTATAAAATAAATGAAGCTATTTTTTATTGAATTAATTCCAACTAAAGTTTTGCACTTACTTTTTAAAATTGTGCATTTTGCAGGTTGTTTCACTTGTGTTTGTAGTCTTATAATAATAAAATTTATTAACTATGAAAGATGGTAGCATGTTTTTACATTAATTCACACACTTGGAGTTAATTGAGTAATTTGGACTTGTACACTATTTTTTTTAACTGGATCTATGTTGAGAGTCATAATATGTCATTAACTCTTGTCTAATAATATTATAACTATATTTCCATTCTACCAATTTGTTTGTATCAAAAAATAAATGTATATGTTTTTCATCTTAAAAGTTATCCATTTTTATTTTAATCTAGTAAATTTTGCAATTAATCACTCATGTTATTGAAATACATAATTATTTCAAAATTTTCGCATGAATAAGTTTCATAAATAATGACGTGATTAATAAATCTTGAACAAATAACTTGATTATGCTATTTTATTCTTCAATGGAATAAATTTAATATTCTAAAATATAATTACCATGTCATAATATTAATTATTAAAAGTTATTTATATTTATATTATAATATTATATATATTAGTACATTATTTAAAATTATTGATATAGATTATAATGATATATAATATATATTTTAAAATATTATTTAAAGTTAATAGTAGAATTATCTATAATTATATGTAGATTTATATCATTATATATTATATCTATAGAAATATTTTTTTAATGTTAATGTATGTAATAATTATAGTAATAAATATTTATATTCAATATAAAATTATGAACTAATTAATAAAACAACGTTTAGAGATAAAAAAAATATATATATATATATTGTAAGAATGTAAAAGCATATTTTATTTTATAACAAAAAGTATTAATTAATTACTTTATTTGGAAATTTACAAGACTTTCAACAGAAAATATTATAGTTCATTTAAGGATATATAAAACCAAATTAGCAAAACTGATTGTTTTCATAAATCACCACAATAAAACCCCAATTAGGTATTGTTGAATTCACTGGGCGACAAAATGTATGGAAATTCATCATGTTGATTCACTCTCAAAATGAATGGGCCACCCTTAACCGCCCAAGATCGCTTCCATCCCAAAAGTTATATCACAATGACTTGGTCACTTTAGTTTGATTGATTGATGAGACAAGTGACATGCCCAAAATTAAAGCCCAGTGAGCTCGGGCACATGCCAGGTGAGCAAAAAGTCTTTATTCCTGCCTCATTCATTCAATTCTAATTAATTCTTCTTGTACTTTTTGGAGCAACAAAATTCTTCTTCTAAGAATCATGATTACCATTGGATGTATATACAAATGTCTAAAGCAAATTAATTGAATAATGTGGTATTCTATGACGTTGATAGAATTTTGTCAATTTAACATGCTAAATGAGCCACCAGGAATAGCTTTTACTTAGCAGGTTTTCTGTTAATTTGTTTCTTGGTATAACATGAATTGCTCTTCAATTTTGTATACACACTAATACACACATGTAATTATTATTATTTTTTTACCATAATATCTTTAAAGTTGGAATTTATGACATTAAACCTACTTTGAGTTAAAAGATTCGTAAGCAAATTTTGGTTGTATTTGAAATAAGTAATTATAATTTGCTATTGCTTATTTCAACAAATTAAAATATTTTTTTTAAAATGTTTAGTAATAATAATTGATGATTTCATTAGTGGGTGTCTAATTTAATATATTATTATTATTATTTAATTTTGTTATGTATTAATTATTTTTTTTATATAAATGTTCAATTATTATATGTACATAAAAATGGCTTTTCAGCCATATAAATAAAAGAAATATGTAAAATAAAAAGTTTAAAAATTATTTGTCGA